TGTCGTGTGTGTGTGTCGTGTCGTGTGTGTGTGTGTGTGTGTGTGTGTGTGTGTGTGTGTGTGTGTGTGTGTGTGTGTGTGTGTGTGTGTGTGTGTGTGTGTGTGTGTGTGTGTGTGTGTGTGTGTGTGTGTGTGCGTGTGTGTGAGCGTGCGTGCGTGCGTGCGTACGTACGTGCGTATGTAACTTATCGCGTAGATGAAAATATTATCTGTTTTCAGTAATATAAGAAAGGTATAAATTAATTACTACATCACGCACGCAACTGTACTGTAAGTATAGCAGCAATTATGTTCTCTGATTTACGGTTAGGCTTAGGTGTAAAGACTTCCTTTCAATAGTGCATAGACACAGAGTGAAATATAAATCACGTTAATTTTACGAGATATATAATTGTTCGCCGACTATAAAACTAATAACTGCTGTAGGTGTAAGTAATGGGCGTATCGTTTACGTGCAAGCGATGCTATATATCACTGTTTCGGTTGATTTCATTGTCGCTTATTGACTGTAGGTACGTTGCATATCTACTTTATGTTCCTTATTGGAAAAGAACTTCGTTATAGTATCGTTAACACTCACCTTTGGAGTAAACTTGAAGAAACACTATCGTGAAAATCACAGCATCCCTTGGCGTCATACTGCGTCTGGTTTGGCTACTTGACTAAACCGGATTCCGGATCGAGAACTACAGAAGCGACGCAACGTAGGCACGCTCTTATGTGGCAACGGACGGCACAGTTATAATGAGATAAATGCTTGGCGAAAATACAAGCTGTAGACCGGCACAGAAACGCAGCGCGTATAACGCCGCTACGCGACACAGTAGCTTATGTGCTCAGTTCTGCTGGCGCTACGACTTCTGTGGGCGATAAAAGAAGGGGACTGTTATTTCGGCTAGCGTAGCCTGCGGCATCTGTACGGCTTAGTACATATATATTAGCAGCAGCACTATGTAGGGAAAGGGGCCCGTGACGGAGTCCGCCAGAGCTCCGTCAGGGTGTGGATATTTTAGTCGAAGCTAAACCGAGCAAAATAATGTGATCGTTGGTATTCACGCAAAGTCAGTCAGCCGGGCTAACTCATGTCGGATGCGATAATGAATTTAATAACCATAGATGTGCAGCGATGTCCTACATTTTACGTGTTATGTGCGTGTGTGTGTGTGTGTGTGTGTGTGTGTGTGTGTGTGTGTGTGTGTGTGTGTGCGTGCGTGCGTGCGTGCGTGGTGGTGTAGTGTCGTGCGTGCGCGTCGTGTCGTGTGTGTGTGTGTGTGTGTGTGTGTGTGTGTGTGTGTGCGTGCGTGCGTGCGTGCGTGGTGGTGT